GGGACTGTGCCCCGAGGGCACGGAAGGGGTCCCTCCAGGCTGCACTCCCGGGGGGCTGGGGCTCCCCAGGGATGCACGGTGTCCCCCGTGGGTGGTGTGGTCCCTGCTGTGCCCCCCCAAGGGACAGGTGACACGGTGTCTCAGGGGAGCAGGCTGGCATCCCATCAAGGGCCTGTGCTGGGTCCCAAAGGGCGTGGTGTTGGGGTTCCCTCTCACGCCTCAGGATGTGGGGTGAATCCTGAGCTGGGACTTGCCAGCTGTGGGGCGATTCCTCCCCCCTGTGCTCAGGCTGGGTTCTCTGGGTTGGATGGACTCCCCGTCTCCATATCTCAGTGCCCCCAGCTAGGGCAGGGTGAGACACATCCAGGTGGAGCTGAGGAGCAATCAGAGCCGTGTCACTGTCCCCACGGACTGGAGGGCTCTTTGGAGTGAAAAATGGAGAGCATTTCCATTGGGGACATTGTGTTTCCAGGCCCTGCAGGTGGAAGGTGCTCATCCTGATCTCTTGCCTCCAGTCTGCAGGGGCAGGGCTCAGGGGTATGCTCTCTGCACAGACACAGGGACGCTGCTGCTGCAGAACTCTGTCTCTTTCCCCAAACCTGGGCCCACAGGGCCTCCTTGTGCTGGCTGTGGAGCAGTGGTTTCACCTCTCCGCACACTGGGCCACAGAGGTAGACCTCAGCCTGGAGAGGTGCTGACAGCAGTGGTGATAAATGCAGTCAGACAGGCTGGAGCTGGGTGTAGTCGGAGCTGCACCGTGGGGGTGGGCACCGTGGACTAGAGCTGCGCTGTGGCTGTGCCTGCATCTAGCCAGCCGGTAGAAGCCCTGTGGTCGTCACTGGGGAGAGCTCAGGGCCTGGAGTCTGCCTCCTTCAAAGCCTCTTCTTTCCCAGCAGCAGGGAGTGTGCAGCTCTAGATATTCTCTGGGGCTGGGGGGGGAGATGGGGCTGTACCCCAGCTGTGGGTGTGTGGTGCCTTGTTCCCAGCCCTAACCTTGCAGCTCATCCCAGGGGCATCCCCCCAGGGGGGCTCTCAGTGTGCGTGGCTGCCCTCCTCTGTGGGTGGAGCACGCTGCAGTGTTTCTGTGGGCTCTGTCACTGCCAGGGTTGCCTTCCTGGTGCAGTTATGCACTGCTGGGCATTCAGCCAACAGCTTCTGGGTCACCTGTGTCTATCGGCAGGGCCCGAACCCCCCCCTGTGAAGTTGGTCAGGTTGTCTCTCTACGGCCAAAGGACCTGCCTGAGTCCAGCCTTGTGCCTGGAGCAGCTTCCCTAATCTTCAGATAAGATAAAACACCAGCGAAAACACCATAAAGACATAAATACCCGGAGAGGCTTGTCTGGGAGATAGAGAGGTGCTGGCTGAATCCCGCCAAGGACACGAGACCGCAGGGCCTGGTCCACTTATGTGGAGCTGTTGTAGATGGGTGTGCTGGGCTGGGAACAGCACAGCCACATCCCCCGGGAATTGACTTGCTGCTTTTTCCATGAACATCAGCCCCTCTGGGATCACCTACAGATGCCATAGTTGTGGTTTTCTTTCTCTCTTCCTTTTTCTTTAGCTGGTTTGCAGAATGGAGGAGCCACTGTCAATGGAGATGTCTTTCAGGTGAGAGCTCAGCCCCTTGCCCTGGCCCGTGGTACTAAGCAGGATTGGGTGGGTGTGGGGCCAGCACTCCACTGCTCTGCCCCCAGGACTGACTGGAGTTTGCTGTCCAGCGCCAGACCAGCTATGGTGCTCCTGGAAAGGTCTTAGGTCTCTGGGGGGAACCCTGGCTGCTCCATTCTTACCCCTCTTTGAAGATTGGTCCCACCTGCCATGACCTGCCCCAAATCTGTTTGCAGGTGGCCTGTGCCCTGAGGGAGTGCCTGGGCCCTGAGAGCAGATGACAAACCCTCTGTTCCCCCCAGAAGCCCCCTCTCTCCACCCTGGGTAGCTCCAGAGCCAGGACAGGGCTGCCATGGGACATTCACTTTGCTGTGGCCTTGCTGCTGAGTCCTGGCAGCATCTCCCATTAAACCCACTTCCCCCATGGCCAAGGGTGTTTTCTGGGGCCCACCCGCTTGGGTCTCTGCCCAGAGAACCAAAAGCACAGCTCTGCTGGCTACAGGAGGAGCTGTGCCAGTGCCTGACAAGCCCTTCACCCCACTCAGCGCCCAGCAGAGTGGCATGTGCATTGCCCGTGCCTAGTTTACAGGATGATAATCACATTAGAGATGAGGCAGACTTAATTAGATTGGGGATTTTGGAGGAGAGCCCTAATCTCACTGCTGAGCTTGGTGTTGAGCTGGGCGTCCCCGCCAGCAGAAGGTGTTAGGAGAGGTGCTGAGCCAGCGTGGTGCTGGGCTTGGCAGGAGCCGTACAGGCAGGGCGGGCCG